CAGTCTAACATCTTGGGACCGGACTGTTGGAGTAAGGTGGTCCCATACTGGTTGATTGACTCGTACTTTTGTCAAGAATTTACAGTTCTCTGGTCTGTGATACTTGTTCAACTTTTCCTGAAGTTTCTCTTCAGGCAGCCCTTCTTTGAGCATGGCATTCACTACATTCGCCAGCTCTGTGTTTACACTTGGGCCCGTCTCCTCTTTCTTCAGCTCTTGTTTCAAGCTGTTAAGTACCTCAAATTTTCCTTCATTAGAAGGCATATTTTGAGCCCCGGTTGAGTCAGCCAGCTTTGTCACGGCTTCTTCTAAGCTCGTAGTTTTCTTCTTCGTGGGGGGCTCTTCGCTGACCTCGTGGTCATTCTCGGCAGATTTTGCCTCCTGTTCTTCCTCCGTGTCACCATATTGTATTTCAAAGTCTGACTGAAACTGTTTGAACGACTCAGCAATAGTCTTGGATAAATCTTGAGACATCAGGGTGAAGCCCTGTCTCAGCGTAGCGGCCAGCTCTTGTAAACCATGTGAGTCAGTTTTGGCGCCATCGGCGCCATCTCCTCTTTCGATGATTCTAACATTTGCTTCAATGTGTTCGCTTCTAAAGCCACTACTTTTCCTTTTTAAGTTGTCTTTCTCGCCCTTAAGCTCAGATTTATCCGAGGTCTCGGGCATTTTTTGCGAATTATCGCTTAAAACTAAAATTCTCAGCGTGTTGAAAAAACAAACGTCCGTTCGCTCCAAAGGCGGCAACACACTGAGTTCGCGCAGGCGCAATGCTATCTCACGTGAGCCCTCAGTGCGGTGACGGAATAGAATCAACATTTCCTGTCTCATCTACACTCCACACACTCTCATCACCAGACTGAGCACTAGGTGCATCACTCCTGTCCAGATTTTCCTGGATGACATAGACACTGAAAATTTTTGATAAATATCATTGCATCAAAAACTGTAACTTGAAAATTGTGATGATCATGTATACTCAACAGTATGATGTACAACTGAGCCCAGTACCCATCTTTGCTCAAAAGGGGCTCAATTACAAAAGCCCTGGTGTGTATAGGGGTGCCTGCACGCCATCGTGAGAACCCTTCTTCTTTAAAACTTATGAAACCCCAGCAACTGGCATACATACAAGTACAACATGATTTAATAGAGAATGCTATATTTTAAACAATACTGTTACTCCAAATTAAGAAAATGATCATTGTCATAATGAGACACCACAGGTACAACGTCTTCTGAGATATTATCTTGAGACAGGCTGTCAAAAGTAACAACAATACTGACACTCATAACAAGATAATGAATTGTCAGTGAAGCTCCTATTGTTTTGGTCAAACAACTCCCTTCAAGAGTTTCCCCCAGTCACATCCACAAAACTTGATTGCAAGGAACTAACATGCACGCTTATTCAATGCGTGCACTTGTTTGATATTATGGCCTTCGAGGTGGGTGCTTATCGGGGAAAGGTGCCTATTAGAGCCACCGGGTGCAAATTTGAGGAAATACAGTATGTTAGAATAATAATTGGGTCTGTTTCTTCCTGATATCATTACTTTTGATTGACAGCCCTTCGAATATCAGGCCACAATTTGTTCATGGTCTTCGTTGAGTATTTCCTTACAATACAACCATTTTCTGCATAAGTACATTGTACTATATGCGGACTTGTAACAGACTTTCAAACTCACTTTCGCCAAAACTGCAAACTCATGTTAACATAACCACCAATTCAGGCCCATTCTGCTATTAATTAATTGAAAACACTTACGTTGAATAAGTGAAATCCTTTCGGGATCAAGTGGGATCCTCTCGTACTTGTCATTTAAGGGGGAATCATCTTGGCTAACAATTCCTCTTTTGTGAACACTATCCTGGCCAACCTGGTAGCATACTAAGTTTGCTCCTTCTGAGGTGCCTTTAGAGACAGGAGCTGAACTCCATTGTAGCTTGGGTAAAGGAAGAGACAAAGTTTCTTAGCTATGAATTAATGAAACAAAATATCAAACAATAAAGATTGCCAAGTTGGAATCCTCATCATCCCTGTCCACCTCAAGAGACTCAACACACTGCAAAGGAATTAGCAGCTCATCGTTGAAATTTTATTCATCACTTTCCTCACCATTTTGAAAGCTACAGGGCTGGTGTAGCCCTGAGTACTAGTTTCCAGCCATCCTGCCACTGGTTAAGAAAATTATGCCTTTTTGATTTCAGAAATTTTCATATTTCCCAAACCAATTTCGACAAATTTCAAGCTACTGAAATTTTAAAAGGGTTTGTTTATTATTTTAGTATGTAAAGCGAAGTTTAAAGACTTCTTTTGGTTCAAACAAAACTACATGATCAAATAAATAACTGCAAATCCCTAACTTTCTTTATTTTTCTGTTGTGATCTGTAGAAGGAAATCGATGTGTTCACAATTCTACTAACTGTCGATTGGAACACTTTCATTCTGAATGCAAGGTCTTCCTCTGTATTCCCTATCTTAGGCGAACTAAAGTCATAAAACAATCTACTTCTACAAGTGTTTTAGTAGCAGTGGTCCCGAAGAGGGTCTACATTTCTCTGCCTGTTTGTGGAGTCTAGGAGGCATTCTTCCACAGTTACACTTTCACTCTGTGTTTGAACATTGTTTGTTTCGCTGTCCTTTGCTGAGCACAAAGGCAAATAACTTTCACTAGACTTTTTGTTACAAGAATCGATCTGTGGTTCTACGTTTTCTTTATCTATGTGATTCTATCTATGGATATCTCTTTATCTATGGATGTTAACAAATTCAAAGGCTCCATTTTTCTCTTTTTGCGGGGAATTTCATCTTGAATTCTTGGAGGCTTCCTCTTGTTATCTGTTAGGTTCAGTTAGATATCCCTTAAGATACAAGCTTGGCATTGGATCCTCTTTCGTTAGTTTCCCAACTTTGAAATGGTTGGAGCAAACCTTTGTATCCTTAGTAATTTTGAAATCTTTCCTGGTGACGAGTCGTGACCATTTACTGTACAGACTGTAGTTAGGGTATCAGTTAAAGCTCATTTTACTCTCCTTGCCTTCATATATGCACCTTTGATGATAAAAGGATTCTGTTTTTATCTACACTGTTCTGTAATAGTATTTACTTTATCAAAGCTTACGTAACAACCACAAATTGCTGGTGTAATTACTTGTGCGGATATCTGTGGTCGTTGTGGCATACAAACACGGCGCAATGGTCTCCTTTTCCCATATCTAGGATTAAATATCTATGTATTCGCAAAATTTGTAAATGTTAGCATTCCCAAACACCGAAAAAACTCAAAACGCTGATAAGGAAGCAGTATTCACACTTAAAAACCACCACCAAATGGTTGAATAGATTGTGCACACAGCTGTTTGCCCTGAGTGACCATATGACCTTACTGTTTTCCCATAAACACCAGAGCGCCCGCAAACATGGCAGGCATCGTGAATAGGGGCTATTCTCTTAAAGTGGAATGGAGAAGTGCAATAGAAGATCTTAAGCTATAAGCACTGACCTTGTGTGGATTTAATTTAAGATATTCAGGAAACATTTGATCATATAGCAACTTTTGAGTTAACTTAAGTATATTTAGTTCAACGTTCTTATTCACTGGAAGCCAGCCAGTTTAACTTCGCAACGTCCTCTACTCCTGCAAACCTTCTTGTGACAAATCCTTTCTGCTGCTTCACAGAGGACTACCTTGAGGGGTATGTAGAAATCATACCTGTTTACTGGTTCAGTTTCCCGTTTCACTATTCCTTCTTTTATTTGGTCCTTGACGACCTTTTCGTAGCCTTCAATAATTCCCTGGTTCTTAAGTCTCCTTACCAAGGTGCTTAATCTGCAAGGACTTCCATCTTCATTGTTCTGAAGTGGCTGGTGGTTTCCTCTCCATCGGAGTCCAGTTTCACACCATCTGGCTGAATAGTGATGTAAATGTTCCTTGAATTTAGCATAGACCTCTTGCTGGTCGCCCACTGACGAATCTGCTAGTCTCAACACTTCTAGCCTTTGCAACTTTTGCTGTTTCTAGGAAAAGGAAATCAAATTGCAAATTTCATGCATGCCTTTGAAATAACTCTCGGTACAGGACCATGTGATTGGTAAAGATGGCATGTCGTGTAACTATACAACATGAACAGTATAACTGCTGGCCGCAGTACCGGACGCCTCTCCTTCCCCCTCGCTGCAGCTCCTGTTGTTGTGAGCATGAGCTGGCAACTCTGCCACTGATTGTTGAGTTTTTGAAAAATCTGCTCGTCAAAGTCATCATAAAGTGCTAGGGCCTCATTGGCGAACGTATACACAATGTCTACATGCTTGTGGTCATCACACATGGCCTTGTAGACATCATGAAGATTTGGACTGTAGGTTTGGCCCAGCTGTTCAGCAAAGGGTTCTGTTTCCCTCTATGTAAGTGCTTTTGGCAAAACGGCAATCAAAAATCCAAGGTCAAATCCAGACTGACCACCGACCATCACTGGGTATATTTCACGAACTATATAACCTTAAGAATACACAAACAATTAAATTTATTAAGAATTACATCTCATTCTTATAGTCCTTGCAAGTAGCCGCATAACAATTGGGTTCACTGCTCAGGGGATATTTACCTAGCAGAGAAGTAAATATCCACCACTACCCACCATCACTGAGGCGAGTAGTTGTTTTAGTACACACTTAAACAGTGAGATGATATAGCAAGAAAGGATTTTTTTCTCATTTATTCCTGTAATAACTATGATACTTTTAAATGAGTATCCAGCTCTAGTTGCGAAGAGGTGAATGGCAAAGGATATCCAGAGTTTGAGTAGCCAATCACAGTGTCCCTTCAATGTCACCCACTGTCTTTGGTATAATTACAATGGAACCAAAAAAATATATAATGGAATGAAATCATTAAACAGCTGGAGTGCTCAGTGTGGCTTGACAAACAATCACTAATGTCGCCAATTGAGAATGTTTCAGGAACTTCATGTTGAACACCTCATTATAATAATTTTAAGAATTTGTAGAGAGTCTCCCTACAACCTAACTAATTTACCTGTCTTTAACTTACCTACTTAAATCCGCCTATTCTTTGTTTGCAAAAAAAATCCTTACATCATATGCAGTATTCAGATTATTTTGCGGGTCTCAAGGGCGAAGGTACTAGGAAAAAACCTGTTTGTGGCTTGCGCCCATATTTGTTGAGAAAAAATTATTTCTTCGAAAATATCGAGATATTGTGAACTCTTTGGTATTGCAAACCACATGGGCTATGAAAACCCAAACGAAGGCGTACAAGTCAATGGAAGCCTACAATTTTGTTTCTGGCTGGGTGAATACTATTTGCATACGATATGTTGATACCGATAGTATTTTGGCAGAAAATGTGGAACTGTTATTACTGCCCGTTATGATTGTATGGTAGGATTATGTGAGGGGTGCTCCCATGTTGGGGCAGTACTTTTTGCTGCGGAGGCAGGTGTTAGGATTAGAGATTCTAGCACCTGCACACAGGAAATGAACAAATGGCTTCTTCTATGTCGTGTGAGAGAAATCCCATAATTACCGGTCAGTGAGATGGATTTTACATCTGCTAAAAAGAAGCACGAGTTGATGGTGGAGAAACAGGTTACTCCTATGGCTACTAGATCAAACTTTGGTATCCACACCACCAGGACACCTGCACCAACCCCAGAAGAGCAAAAAAAAGTTTTTTCAAGTATTTCTGGCTCTACAGTAAAACTAGCAGTCCTTTCCCTTGTCACACCATTTAATGACCAATATACTTGTAAAGAAATTGATAATGCACTCAAGCCCCTACCTGATAGCTTCTTTAAAGAAGAGTGTATTGAGTCAGAGTACACAAAGTTCCTGCAGCAGTGTTAACAAATATCACTTATAGTTACACCCATTGAGTGTCAAGCAATGGAAGCTTCAACCAGAAAGTAGCCTGCAGTGCAGGCGTCTTATCAGTGCAAGCTAACGTTATAAGCTTGTGATCGTTTATCCAACTGTCCATGTTTGATTTGCAGTTAGAGTGAACAGTGGGGGTAGGGGGCGGGGAAAGGGAGAAAAGATGCCTGCCTGAAGAGGCTGTTAAAATGCCATACGCCTTCTGACTAGTTGCGCTTCACTGCATTTCAGGAAATAGGAAGATAATCAATAAAAATGAGTTTATTTAAAAGCCTTTGGCAATGACTTCTGGCCTAAACAAACACACGTGGACCCAATGAGCTGGTGAACCATTATATGTAGCTACATTTTGCATAATGTCCGATGGGAGTACCAGTGACAGCTGTAGACTTTGTGGAGTTTCCTTCAAAGTTTGGAAATCTCCCTAAGCAAAGCCACTCTTCATCAGAAAATATTTTCAAACCTTCAGGGTGTATATTGGAGATGTGTAATCTGGAGGAGCTTCTAGTTTCTCGAAAAAAAATTTCATGGAAGGGATGAAAATTTTCTGTCCCCTTTGGTTTGACTGCATTCAAGGTGCAAGTGATTTATCACAGCATGCTTTCAAAGAATGCGGCCCAGAGATAAACTCCCTTGCTTAGGTACAGCACTGCTAGTATGCTTAGGAAACGCCTTACAAAACTTACACAACTGACTTAGAGAGCACAATGACTTATGGGGCACTATCTTCCAACAAGAAAGATAATTAGTAAAGTAGTGATACATAGATAGAAAACCGTAATTTTTGCATTATTGTTGCATTATTTTGCATAAATTTGCATTATTTTGTTTGCTTCGTGGAAAATACACGTGCATACAGTCATTGTGCATGAAGGAAATTGAGTTCCCAGTAATCTTTTGGTCACATGCTTAGAATTCATTTGTAGGATATACAACAAAAGGTCAGCTTTTTTTAAGGGAACAATTTTATTTAAGACAGGAAGATGTTTATCATGAAAGGAAAATAGATTTATTGATAAACCAGATGAAATTGAAAGATATGAATCTTTTATGGGACAAAGCAACACACCCACTTAAGAACAAATAGTCCACTTGACAAAAAGAAACATGCAAACATAGAAAGAATTAGTTAACAAAATTTGATTGAATGATTTATTCTTGGCTTGAATTATATAACACCATTTCCCTAAACATGATCATCTTTTTTTGTACAAAACAGGGGCACATTTCCGATAGAAAAAATACATATGTAATTTGTTTCCTCATCAGACACAAAGCCATTTCATTTAAAGTTTCGGACTTTTCAAGACAGTTGCCGGCTATCTCTAACGTCTGGACAGCACAAGTCTCTCGCGGTACAGAACATCACAGTTCTTGACTTTCAGGGTCACTGTCAATACCAAGGGAAATACTTTCAAAATCAAACCAGCTATTCACATTTGGTTCTCCTTGTAGAACAGAACCACTGGATTTTTCTAACATAGGTGCCAATAATTTTTCAAAATTAGAAATGCTCATGAACACTTCCTGGATCACTTCTAATACTTTAAATGCATTTCACGTTGAAAATACTGGGTAACGAGTAGGTAAATCAGCTAAAGTGAAAATCCTCTCATAGTCCCTTACCACATCCTCAATTAAATGCCTTGAGAAGCCATGACAAGAGCTTTCACCAATGCTGGTCCTTTACTTCTCATCTCATCTATTACCTCGTCCAGTGCTTCCTTTATTGCCTATCCTGGCATGAGACCTGTCTGCATTGAGCTTTAGTGTCCTCCACTGCTTGCTCTTTTGCCTCCTCAAATGGCAAGGTGGGTGCACAGCAACCCCTGCCCCCACATAGTTGAGAACAACAATCATGCTGAGGTTCTAGGGGCAGAATGGAATCATCCAGAAAACACCCTTCTGCCTGGAGAAAGTCTTTCACTTCCTGTTCACAGTGCAACTTGCTGTCCATCGTAAAGAACGATTATGTGTGATTTCTCTCCGTCTCTTCCAGCCTCTTGATGTTGGTCTGGGATGGAATGGGCTGGGCCAGGCCCCAATTTATAATAAACCGAACATCAGGAAAGTTTTCTCCCATACAAAGTGCTGTGGAGGCCATAACAACTCTTTTCACTCCTGAACCCTTGAATTGCTCCATAACTCTGTTTTTACTACTTCTCCAGGAGTTAGAGTGGTAAATTCCAATTAAACAGTTGTCCTGGACAGGAGACTATGCAGGAGAGAACATCTACTCCCAAGCTTAGTCATTATGTGATTAATGATAAGCCAATCTGCCAATGTACCTTCTTTATTACATCATGATCTTCTAAAGAAGAAGGGAGTCTGTGGATTAATCTCGTAGCTTTTACATGCAGTGCTTCAATGGGTTCAAAAGCAGAGATAGAACAGTTTCCCATGCAGATATACAGTAATTTATGTGTGGTATAATCAACTTGTAATAGATCCTTTCCAATTCCTTAGTTGACAGATAGGATATTCTTTTAAGAGACTTTAGTTGTGCATTAAATGATTTAGTTAGCTCTTTGATATGTGGTTTCCAAGTCAGCTTGTTGTCAATATATATTCCAAGTACTTTTACTTTATCCGTATACTCTAGACATTTGTTTCCCCATTTGACAGGTTTTAATGGGCCAGTGAAGCTCTTTCTTGAGATTAGCATGACTTTGCATTTGGTTGGATGAATTGTGAGGTTGTTTGTATTACACCATTTGCTAATTTCTGAGAATACAATGTTAAGTAGAGTTACTACCTCATCTTCATTCTTTCCAATAACGAATGCTGTGGTGTCATCAGCATAGAGGTGGATTCACCATTTGATACACAGTCAGGCAAGTCATCTACGAAGATCGAAAATAGATTTGGTCCCAAGAGGGATCCCTGTGGGACACCACAGGGCACTATTTGAAGGCCAGGTCTTTTCCCATTTACTATAACAAATTGTTTTCGATCAAGGAGGTAACTTTGAATCCAGTCTTTCAATTTTCCATGTAAACCGCAAGCATCCATCTTATAACTCAAAATTGAATGATCCACTGAGTCAAATGCTTTCCTAAAGTCGATAAGAACTGTACCAATCACATTTCCTTTATTCAAATTTCTTTTCCACATCTCTGTAATATATAGCAATAGGGAGCTTTTGACTGGTCCAAGTTTCCAAAGTATGGAACTCGTCCACAATGATTGCACACCTACTCTGGTGAACGGTGCGCTGCTTTTTTCATCAAGGAAAGAAATGGTTTCGCTAAAACTTCCTCCACTGACACAAATACAAGGTTATATTTGCCGCGCTCTATGTCCCTCAATGATAGCCATGATCGTAGCAGCCGTTAATCCCATAAAGGATGCTTCTTCCATTTGATCATAAACAATACTCTGAAGCGGACAAATATTACGGGTGCAGTTGCTTGAAACCCTAGATTTCATTACATAAAAACTGTATTGTGTTAAACTGTTTTTAACACACCTTTTCAGATAACAATCGTGCGATCGCATCCAGCCGCCATGTTTGTTTGGCATGTTGACACTTCTAAAGCTCGCGCTTTATTCGTATCCAGATCTCGCGCGGTCAAAAAACCCTGTGAAGCCTCCTAAAGACAAATATGAGTGAGGTAAAGGTTCATGTGCATATTTCCAGATTCCCACACTTCCACAGTTCAACACCACTACCAAGTTAAGACAAATGTGGGTAAGGCAAAGATCATTTGCATATTTTCAGATTTCCAAACTTCCATTCTTGTGTATACGATATGTACTACATAAATCGCTTCCGTGCACTTGAGTAGTCATATCTAAAACAATCTTACTCCTCACCTCGTTTTTCGCTTCTTCTCTCGCATTTGCTAGATGATATTAAATAAAGGGAAAGTAGTACGTGAGATGATATTGAAAAATAATAAAGTACTAATTAACTGATAAAATGATACTACATGGAGTTTTTGGGTCAAATAAAAAACTCCCAGTGAGGGTTGCACTCTATTCCGAGCCGTGATGCGATCTATGATCTGATCCACAAACTAATCAGAGACCCCATCTGTGATCCCATCCGTGACTCAATCCATGATCCAATATGTGATCCCATCCATGATCCCATCCATGATCCCATCCATGATCCCATCCATGATCCGATCCGTGATCCCATCCATAACGTGATCCATGATCCGATCCATGATCCGATCCATGATCCGATCCATGATCCGATCCATGATCCGATCCATGATCCGATCCATGATCCGATCCATGATCCGATCCATGATCCATCCCATCCATGACGTGATCCGTGATCCGATCCATGATCTCATCCGTGATCCCATCCATAATCCAATTCATGATCCGATCCATGATCCCATCCGTGATCCCATCCCTGATGCGATCCGTGAGGCCGTGATTTGACCTGTGATCCCATCTATGATCCGATCCCTGATCTAATCCCTTACCCGATCCGTAATTCATTTGTAATCCGATTCATAATCCGATCCGTGATCTGGTCCGGTGTGATCCAGGTTTAGTGGATGCCGGTCGGTATTTACCATTCCTTTACTGTATACCCCGTCTGCTGTGTGCAGGCCAAAAATCTGGTTTGTGATTTTATTCCTCTCCGTCTTCTCAAGGGATTTCAGATGTTTTTTCTCATTGTTCCTGAGATGGCTCATACATCGTGACCTCGAATCAGATGGAAATCTTCCAGAAAAATTCTGCCCCAGGGGTTTTTCTCCATCCATCCTAAATTCCCCAATAGAGACCTCAAAATCCGACGACGGCGAGTGTCTACGACGGCGGTCGCGAGCTGGGGGGGGAATGTGGAGAGGTCGCCGTTGTGAGGTGTGAAAAATAACCTTAAGAACACTCGTGGAAGACGCGGTCGGGTTCATGACAGGCTTTCGGTTTTTCAGTGAAAATATGGCATCCTTTAGAGAGAGAAGTAACCTTCTCCTCGAAAGTTTTGATAAAGGAGGAGGAGGATTTCCAAGGACGAATCCCTTCTTCTTTAAGGTGCAAACACCTCGAAAAACCCAGATTTCCCTTAGGTAGAAGGCATAATTCAAGTATGCTGCCTGATTCTGGTCTACTTCGCGATCTGGAGCGGCATGGCTTCTCTACAACAAGAGAATCAATGGCCGTGTATGGTGACCCCGCCTATCCCCTGCGTGTTCATCTCCAATTCCCTTACATAGGTGCCGGAATAACACCATTATTACTTTGAAGTGTAGCTAAGTTCCTATTAACCACTACACTAGCTCAGTAGTGTTCATAGCTGCGAGGATCGCTTTTATATTCGTTCTTCATACCCATTTGGCATGGGCATGCTACTTAAAACTTCATCAGTAACTTCAAACTCCAAATCGCGCATTCCCAAAACGTCTTCACCTTTAAAATCTTCGGTCGATATCTTACTCTCCTCACAATTTTACCCTATGACTGGTGAGCCTAAATTTTACTGACATGTCTTTCTTTCTCAACGCTATTCCTTTCATAATCAAAGAGCGCATTGGAGCGATGACCTGTTCGCTCCCGAATTAACTTATCTTAAGACCCGCTTGACTGCACAACATATCTGGCAAAATCTTATTTAGAGTATTATTACCCTCAGGTGATTTATGATAGCCAAATACAGCTGAATTTCGATTTGGTTTGAAATGAAATGCTTTTGCATGTTCCGCTAAGCTTTGGCGCTGGCGGTTGGCGATCCTCGCTATGTACTCAGGTTTGCGAATGGCTGGGCACGGGGATTCTGTCAATTCATCTGACAGGACCTAAAACATAGGAGTTACAGTTAAACTAGGTTCTTATTTTAGGCATGGTTATCATCTAAACTGTATTTTATAGAATCAATACAGCAATATATTCCATATAACATCAAATTGTCAGGGGCACCCAATTTTTGGAAGATATCTGAGGTCTGGAATTTTCCTAACATTTGTTTTAAAATGTCTTCCTTTCCTGCCTCTCCTTGGATTTTCGAACATCTAAAAAGTGGTACAATTGCCCATTTTAACGGATGTTTACCCTAAAAAGGTCACCTAGAATTTTCGAAAGCCTTTTTTCTGGCTGAAATTTCGAAAAGGCAAGTTTTGATCCCTATAATTTTCGGATCACTAGACTTTCATCTAGGAAATCCGAACAGATGAAAAATTTTTAGGGGATGAAAATATGCCTATATGTACCGTTTAAATAATAAAATACGTCCAACGATGCTATGTTCAAGTAGTTTTGAACTATATTCTCGTTGGGTGCCCCTGAACTGTCTGTGCTTGTTTAGTAAGTATTTGCTAATGTAGCGTTGTAATTACCTCGTTCACTATCGCCGAAGCTGGCTTGAACTTGTTATCCAGCGCCTTGGTTTTATCCGTATTGACGATCTTTCTCGCAATTGCAGCCTCAAATTCCGCCGTGTGGTTATGGGAATTCTTCCCCGCATGGAATGTTCCGTCTCTTTCTCCTACTGTTATAAACATGAAGAAGGCGCAGTCGTTCTTGTCACTAATTCGATTTATTCCACTAAAAACTATCGTGCAAAACCCTCTCGAGTCAAAATCACACGCCCCTAATATGTACACTTAATTCGATATCCTATAATAACCAGTAAATCAAGTTGTGAATCAACTTCTTGTCATGTGCGTTCTATACAAACAAAACGAAAGGTGTGACTGCTGAGATTACGTAACAGATACGTGTGACTGTCTATGACAGCTGCCAAGGCCTTACAGGGGCTGCCTTTTGGACGGACCGTGCACCGCCAATAGGTAGCACAGGATCTCTTGGCATTTATGTTATAAGAAAATCCAAGACTATCTATAGGCATGGCTCTCTCGCGTTTGGTTCCCTCTTCCACTAGATGGTAAGTAACTGAGGCTCGGTGGTCCATGACGTCGCGGTTTGGGAGTGGTTCAGTAATTGAAGACTCGGTGAGGCATTCGTTATATGGTATAAACGTCAAAAATCACATTAATTATTAAAAAAGAAATTTAAAAAAAGTGATTATGATTATGGTGATTGTGATTAACTTTTGCTTTCTAGTCTCGTCTCAATCCCTTATTGTAACAACAACGTCGCGGTTTGCAATCGTGCCGGATGACTGAGATAGGAATTAGACGGATTTTGAGAGAAAAGGCAGACTGCTAGCAGTCTAATTGATTACTCATAATAATTAATTATCGAAATCATCATGCAAAACCGAGCCAAGTTAGTTTTGTTTTTCTAGAACCTTCATAATTATTTGAGACTGCTGTTGTTGCACAAAGGTAAACATGTGCCGAAAACTTTGCATCTGCTCTTGTAACTGCTTAATTTGTTCCACTAAGACTTTCATCATATCCTGATGTTTTTTTCTTGATTGATCTACCCGTTTCCCTCAACTTCAACTCGCTGCTTTTGCAGCTGCAATTCTTCTTCTTTCCACTTCTGAACAAGACCAGTTTTTTTCGCGCAAATATGCGATTGTGTCACCTTTACTTCTACGACTTTTTTGCCTTGGTTTCACATTCTCCTCTCTTCATACCGCTTCCTTTTCTGTGTTCCGCTCAGGCTTTCTTGAGCTCTGTTTTTCATTTCCGCTGCTTTTGCGTTGTCAGCTTTCTTATCGTTTTCTACGGTGTCTTCAGCTGCAGCTTCTTTTTCGGATGTTTCTTCCGGAGCCTTTACCACCTCACTCAAATCACATTCAATTCCACTTGCCCTCTCTTCGTCTTTCATCTTTGCTTTAAATTTCTCGCTCAGCAGTGTGTATCTTTCTCTAACAGCGCGCTTACTGACTTTGAATCGGGAAGCGTAAGGTCGTTTTTTCCAAGACTTTGCCTCTAAATATGTTTCCTTTTTTGTACTTAAAAGGTTCAAGTACTAAAATTTCTTGACACATGTAGTTGTCATGTTCCACGGTCCTCTCCATGTTTGATCTAAAAAACCACAATGATATCTAGCTTCAGCGATTTTTTTTCCTGAAACAAACCCGGGTAAATTATCTTGATCAAATTCCTGGTGTAGTTTAAATATTCATAGAGAATATGAAAATATCTTACTCGACTGTTTTCTTTGAACTCGTCTCCAGTTAAGCTTATTTGTGTTTCGTTCTACCATAAACACACGATTTCTAGGTAACGAACAGTCTTTATTTGTAAACTAAGTGCGCTCTCATGTAGATATATGTGATCTTAAACCTTTTGCGATTAGATAACATCGACCGCTGTATCATGTGTCACCTGAGGTGCACGTGATCTCCGAGTGTGCTCTCGTTACATCCTTTCTTTCATAAGAAACAAAACGAAAACAACGGAACAATCAAAACAAACATGAGAAACAAAAAAATCAAAACCACTATCCAAAAGAATCAACTAGTCAAGTCCGGTAATGTCTTTGTCTCTCATGACACTGACTCAGGTTAACGAACAAAGTCTTTCAGATAGGACGGGGGCTTCGTTATTCGACCACTGCGAGTCTGGTTGCCTTTGGAAGCTTGCGATGCTAGATCAGTCGCAGGCTGCTCGATCGCTGGCTCCTGTGGCTTCGCTACTTCTGAGCTGGAGTGACCACTGGCGTTAGTTTCTTGTTCAATGTGTTTAGATGGCGAGGGAAGTTCTGTCTGCTTGGGCATCTGGGTTGTTGGCGTGTGAGACTCTTTTGCAGTTGCTTTCAGATGCCTTCTATTTCGTCTAAGGGCAGAGCCATCTTCTGTGAGGACTTTGTAGGATCGCATGTTCACCTGTTCCTGAACAGTGGCTTTCTTCCAGGGCGCCTTGGGGTTGCTTGTGGGCTGAATGCGCACTGAGTCTCCAGTTTTCAGTGGTGGCAAATCTCGAGTGTTTCTATTGTAGTAAAATGCCTGCTTGGTTCTTGTCTTCCATTTTCCTTCTTGGACATTTTCGGCGAGTTTGGGTTTAAGGAGCTTCTCGCTTGTTGGGAGTAGGGTCCTTGTTCGACGACTCATTAGTCGTTGTGCTGGACTGCTTTTCATGCCTTCTGAGGGTGTGTTTCGGTGGTCGAGGATCGCGAGCCAAGGATCTGTTCCATCTTTGTTAGCCTTCTTAATAAGCCTTTTCACAGTCTTGACTGCGCTTTCCGCCATACCATTGGACTGCGATTGTCCGGGACTTGAGGTTAAATGATTGAATTCCCAATCTCGAGCAAATCTCCTGAATTCGTCCGAATCAAACTGTGGGCCATTGTCGGAAAACACAGTGTTCGGGATGCCATGCCTTGCAAAGTGTTGCTTCAATTTGTAAATAACAGCTTTAGATGTTGTACTGGACTCCAACCTATCGACTTCCCAGTAGTTGCTGTGGTAATCTACGGTCACGAGGTAATGTCGGTTGTTTGTCTCAAACAGATCAACACCAACCTTGGACCATGGCCGGTCAGGTACCTCATGTGGGTGGAGTGTTTCCTTCTGCTGGGAGATCTCAAAGGTTCGACAAGTTTCACATTGTCTGACAAAGTTCTTCACAGCCGTGTTCATTCCTGGCCAGAAAACGCTTTCTCTCGCGCGTCTCAAGCATCCTTCCACGCCAATATGTGATCGGTGGATTCTGGATAGGACTTCTGGTCTGAGGGATTTTGGAACTACACATCTGTCTCCTTTGAAGATAATTTCATCTTGCGCTGATAGCTCGTCACGAACGTTGAAGTATGGCGTGACGTCATTTGGGAGATCAATCTTGGTCTCAGGCCACCCTTCTCGAATGACTTTCTGAAGTGCTTGCATCGTGCTGTCTCGCAGACTTTCTTTACGGATATCGTCTAGGCTAGCTTTGCGGAGTGGCAGAAACTCGACCATATGTATTTCTTGAACTTCTTTGTCGATGGTTAGCACTTCATCGCGCGATGTGGTGTTGGGAAGGGGTGCTCTAGAGAGTGTGTCTGCCAGATACATGTGCTGGCCTGGCTTGAAACCAATTTCGAGGTTATACTTCTGCAGGCGAAGTAGCATTCGTTGTAGACGCTTGGGGGCGGCCACGAGAGGTTTGCGGTAAATAACTTCAAGTGGTTTATGGTCGCTCTCAACAATCACTTTGCGACCATAAGTGTATTGGTTGAACTTCTCGGCTCCAAACACTATGGCTAGCAGTTCTTTTTCTATTTGCGCATAGTTGCGTTCTGTATCTGTCAGGGATCGCGATGCGTATGCCACTGGCTGACCATTTTGTAAAAGCGTAGCTCCAAGTCCAGTGTCCGAGGCGTCGCATTGAAGTACAGTCTCTTTGGCGGGATCAAAGTATCGGAGGACAGGTGCTTGGGAAGCTGCTTCTTTGATCTTCTTAAAGGCGCTCTCATGGACGTCGCTCCAGTGCCATTCTGCATCCTTGTGCGTTAGCTGTCGCAGAGGTTCGCAAATGTCTGCCAGCTTTTTAAGAATCTCGTCAGGTAATTCGCTAGACCAACAAGCCGCTGTACACCTTTCACATCTGTTGGTCGCCTCATGCCTTTGATGGCGTCTATTTTGGATGGGTCTGGTTTTAGTCCATCTCTTGTTAACACATGACCAACGTAGGGGATTTCTGTCATCTTCAACTTGAACTTCTCCTTGTTCAGTTTCACTCCCTTTTCGCGGCACCTTTCAAGTAGAGTTAGCAGTTTTTGTCGTGATCTTTCACTGCTTCTTGCACAGTGTCACCTTCACCCGAGATGAGGATGTCGTCTGCAACTGTGCGCACACCGGGAAGGCCTTCGATGGCTTGATCCAAACGATGTTGGAAATATTCCGGTGCGGGTGATATGCCAAATGGCATCTTCAGCCACCGGTACCGACCAAATGGAGTGCCAAACGTTGTTAGATAGCTTGAGTCTTCATCTAACTCGACATGCCAAAACCCGTTTTTAACGTCACACACACTGAAGACTTTAGCTTTTGACAAGTCCGGCAGGAGATCGTCGATAACCGGAAGAGGGTAGTGGCTGCGTTTCAAAGCTTTATTTAGTGGCTGAGGGTCGATACACACGCGAAGCTTGCCGTTGGGCTTCTTAACAAGTACCAAGCTTGAGACCCAATCTGTTGGAGTGTCAACTGCTTTGATAACACCAAGTTCTTTGAGACGAGTGAGCTCTTGCTTTAACTTGGGTTTCATTGCCACTGGAATCCTTCTAACAGGCTGTTTCACTGGTTCAATGGTTGTGTCCAACTCTAAGTGAAGTTTCTTCTCAAATTTTCCTTCTCCAGTGAAAACGTCATGGAAATCTGCTGCTATTTGTTGCATCGTTAGGCCCATTGCTTCTGTCTTTTCTTGTACCAATGAGATATTCTCGTAACGCACTTTGATTAATTTCATTTTCTGCACCGTTTTGGAACCCAACAGTGGCGTGCAGTCGTTATTGACAACAACAAACTCTGTTTCGCATTCTTCATCAACCTTGGGATTTACCAGATTAACACGACATTTACCAATGGTTTCCATTTTCGATCCGTTAAACATGCTGAGGACTTGTTTCGAATGCGCGATCGGGCACTCGTTCGGTAAATCGTTTTTGCTTATCACATTACAGGTGGCGCCACTGTCGACTTGAAAACGAACGGGATGACCTTTGATCTCCATTGTTGCGAAGATTTTCGATTTGATGGGTTGACTACTGACACTTTTGACACTTTGTTCTTCCAGATTTTCGGATGAAATCGTGAAGCAGTACTCTTCATCGCTCGAATCCTGCGAAGTTTTTGCGTCTCGCACTCGGTGAATCCGTTCTTTTCTTCGTTGTCGCCCACCAAGTTTCTGTTTACATAGCTTGGCGAAGTGATTTGTTTTGCCGCATTTCGCACATTCTTTTCCGAACGCTGGGCATTTATCTCTTGATCTCTCGTGTTTTCTGCCGCAGTATTTGCAATTAACTAACTTAGGACTGGCGTCTCTGCCGTCTTTTTTCTCTTTGTGGTTGAGTGCGTTGACTTCTTCTCTTCCACTCATGACTTTCATTTGCGATGCAGTTGTTTCGGCTGATCGACATACATTGATACACTTCTGAAGATTTAATTTGGGCTCTTGTAGTAATTTCTTCCTAGTTCCCGTGTCACAAATTCCACAGACGATCCTATCACGAATTAATTCGTCGGTGAGTGGACCAAAAATGCACGTTTTCGCGAGAGTTTTGAGCGCTGTGAGATACGTGTCAAATGATTCGCCGCTTTCTTGTTTTCTATTATTGAAGCAGTATCGCTCGTAAATGACATTTGTTTGGCCAATGCAATGCCTCTCCATCAACTCCAGAACTGTATTCATTACGTCCTTGTCTTCTTCTTTTTCGAACGGAAGACCATTGTAGACTTCGAGGGCTTCGGTTCCAATGCAGGTAATGAAAGTAGCTACACGGTATTTATCTTCTTGCTGGTTAAGACGTGAGGCGATTTCGAACGAATCCCACACTTGCTTCCACTTCTTCCAGTTTTCTGAAATATTTCCTGCCAAATTCAATCGCGACGGAATTGGTAAATTGCTTTGTATTCCATAACATGGCGTCGGCGCTTGAACACTCGCTGCACCTTGAGGTGGTGTAGTTGGCATCGTGTCGAAGAGGCTACACTCCTGGTACCATGTTTCGTTCTACCATAAACACACGATTTCTAGGTAACGAACAGTCTTTATTTGTAAACTAAGTGTGCTCTCGTTACAATTTGAGTCACGAACTTTTGAGGCTGTTTAGAGGGAAGAAAGAAACTTCGGTCAGTTTTCGCCTTTAAAGTGCCTATGACAATATTTTTTTTTCTTTTTTGCATTTTCTGGTTGATAGCTGTATTTAAAATTAGAAGTGATCGACCTTAGCGCCTAGCGAGTTCTTCCGGACCGTTTTTTTGTGCATTGAAAGTACGATTTGGCGGCCAAAAAGTGTCCCCATAAAGCGCGCGGCCAAACCGATCATATTACATAGCTGTGACGTAGAAAACTGTGAAAACACGTCGGCAACTAAAGT